GTATGACAAAACCCTCAACTTGTCATAGGTTTTATAAAATTTTAACAATAAATGCGATAGTTATAAACAAATGAAAAAATGGGCACTTTTCTTGTTTTTTTGCAATAACTTTTTTATTTATTAACCGATATTAATTTAACAAGTCTCATTTTGTAGATAATTTTACTCCCTACAAGCTGTCCGTGAGTCACTTTTCGCTAAAATTGATGGTTTTCCCTGCAAAGTGAAAAAACTGTTTTCCTCACTTATTTGTTTAAATAGAAAAGTTAGCTAATAAAAGTTTTTGACTCACGAGACGAGAGATGTCTTTTATTATGTTCCTTTAGACAATTTTACAATAATCTAGCGGATAGGACTTTTTTCGAGTTTCTCTTTTATTTTCGCTAATTTTCCTGGTGTATGTGTATTTTACTTTTATTTTATGTTTGGGTATCTGATGTGTATTTTGTATTTATCTGCATTTTCAGTAATTATTATTTTATTTTTGGTAAATAACATAACTTGTTATCTATTTTTAGTCAATATACGCGAATCTTAACGTTTTCATTTCTTTGCGGTCTGAGGAAATTGTTTTATTTTATATTTAACGAACATTGTATTTTGTAATGCTCCCGTCAATTTTGAATATTCAATGGGTATGCTCGGACATGATCGGACAAATTAGTTGTTGTCTTTGGTCGCTGTTGTTTTCGCATCGGTGAAGTTTCTTTGGATGAAAATAATTATCAATTCGCCAAATAAGGCAACCAACCTATTAAGGGTTCTATTAAAGGATAACTCATATTTCGGAGTACACAAATGGTATTAAACACTTTTCTAATTGAAACAAGCCAGTTAACCGAACATAACTTCAGTACCAAAATGCTTCCTTGAAAAGTTACGAGTATTGAAATATTTTTTTAATGTTTTTGCAATTTTTGATATTTCAATCAAACCTATTCTTGAATTCTCGTTCTATTGAATTTATGTTAATACAATAAATGTTATAGAAATTATATCTTTTAAATTGCATTTCCCCATTACACCTCTGAAAATACGAGTAATAGGTAAGTACCTACATGATTTTTATTCAACTGACAATATTTCTGCTATTGTCCAAGAAAACCCCTAAAATCATAAATACAAAACTGGACAGAAAATTTGATAATAAAGAATATCTACCATTCTACATCAATCTTCATTTCTATTTTCCAAGCATTTTCCAAACACTGCCTGCTAAAACTTCTTGGATAACCCTTTATAAATAGAGATAGATATAAAAACTAAATTCACATTGTTTTAAAGCACAAAAACTAAATAAATTTAACAATAATCACAGGATTACGTATAAACTAAAACATTTTGTAAATAAATATTAATAATAATTATTAAAAAAACGTAACAGAAACATAACAAGATAAACAACTTTATCTGATCATCCACTAATTCTACTAATATTCAGTATTATAATGCTAGTTTTTATTAAACTAAAACATTATTCGAAAGCCATTGTTCTCGGATAGAAATTGTTCAGCACTTATATACATTGAGACTGTTGTCAGATGCAAACGACGCATGAGACATGATAAACTAATAAATTAAACAGTTTTATAAATAGTAAAGAGGTCAAATAAAAAATGTGTCAACAAAATTTTTTTATTTAAATTTTTCTGTTCTCTCTGCTCATCTTTTTCTGCTGATCTTTTTTTCAATTCTAATAGCAATTACTTTTGTATTGTTTCGAATTTGTTTATAATACTGTCAGTGAAATGCTAGTCTGGATTTTTTAAATTTTGTTTTGACTTTTTCTCTGAGTGATAAAAGAAGTCCAATATTGTCAGTCATCCATGGCTTACGCTTTAGCAACTTTTAAAGGTACATTCAAGTTAACCAAAACAGTTATACAATTGTTAAAATATTGGTCATATGACCAAATCAATACGTAGCATTGTGAATTTCGTTTTGCAGTGCATTATATTTGGTTATATTTTAGTAGAAAATACATTAAAAGAAAGGCTTGTTTTTTTTTTTAATTTCTACCGACAAAAAATATAGAGGTTACCAAGTTTTAATGCAAGTTAGATGAAAGTATAACACTGTTGTGCTGCCGAGTTAAAACCCATTGAATTGTTGTCGCTTATGTGTTACAACACATATTAAGTCGCTTTTATGATAAACTGCTTTAGAATACAATTTAATTTTCATTGGTTCACTTAGAAACTTTTTTAATTTTTAACTTTGTATGGTCGCATCAGAGGCAAAAATTGAATTCAAGAGCAACGCGCAACTTAAAAATTTTTGGAATTGATAATGTTTAGAGCTTTAGTTAATTATGTTACTTATATATTATAAAATAAATACGTTTTATAGCCACAGTTTTCACATATTTCAGATGGTCTCCCCTACAAAGTATATACTGGTCATGACGGAGTTTTAACTGAGAAGAGGAAACAAAGGAGGATACGAACAACATTTACTTCTGCCCAGCTCAAGGAACTAGAAAGGGCTTTCCAGGAGACTCATTATCCTGACATTTATACTAGAGAGGAAATTGCAATGAAGATAGATCTCACAGAGGCCAGAGTACAGGTAAGTGTGTTACTTATGGTACATGTTCAAATAATGTGTTTCCGTTTATACCCTTCTTAATTTTATTAACGTTGTTTTTGTTACTTTCTATTGGGCATTATTTAAGACATTGAAGTACATAAGTTAAAAAGTTATTATTTTTTCCTTACTTAAAATATGGTTTTTATTTTAAGCAAGAATAAATTAAAAACAATGAAAATTATCAATTAGATTTAAATGTCATTTTGTCATCTTGGGAATTCTAGTAAAAACTTGTACTTAACGAGAAAACGTTTAATATTGTATGAAAATTTAAGGTAATCTACAATTTGTTGTAAATATTTTCATAATTGTAAAGATAATTAAAATGTAAATGTCGAATTTTGATACAGTCTGTGACTGTCCCTGTATCTTTCCGTGCATATACCTACAAAAAATTAGATATATTCAAATTTTAAGGATGATTTTATCATAGGTCGTATATGAAAACATTAAATTTGCATAAATGGTTCGCCTGCTTAGAAGTATTTCTGTGGAATTTGACAAAAAATAAAAATTTAAAAAAAATAGTTTGTACAATTTTTATACGGTAAAACATGAAGGTTGAAGGATGTCGTGATTATTTTCCCAATAAAATATAGCATTGTTTTTGTTTGTAACTTTTCTAACACCGATCACTTATTAGAGAACATACAGTGTCACAAATAAAATACGTATTATATGAGAAAATCTAAAATTAATCATGAACAAAAGTAATCGCGTGATTTTCTATATCTGATTTTGATAGACATTTTTAATAAAATGTAACATTACATGCAACATAACATTTTGAAAAACTTCAAAGAAATTACTTTTTTCCTTATTTTTTCATTTCAATATTTCCTTGGACTGATTTTAATATTTAGTATTTTCTAGTATTTGGTATCTTATTTTTTTAAACACATTTTTCACTTGAAATATAAAAAAACTTTTACAATTTTTATTTATTTTTATGTAACATTATAGGTACTATTTCCTGCTTACCTATCTTATACCTGCACTATACACGATGGTGTTTCAAAAAGTAACAGTAAAATGATAATTTTTATGAAAATAATAACTCATTTTTTGTTTTTGATATGAATGTATTACGAAAAATAGCATACCTATACATCTGTAATCTATTCCGGCAAATATTTAAATGTTGACTTTTGAATAGTGGTTATTTGATCTAAAAACGTAATAAGGCAAAATAAAAAGGTGAAGTTTAATTAGATACAACACCCGAAATATTCGGCTCTCTTCTAATTACAGTAGAAAATTTAAATTAATTTATCTTTTAAACAATATCTTTAGCGACATGAACCATATGTAACTTATTTGCAATAAATAAAATGATGTTTCATAAAACATTTGAATTTTCACAATATTTCCACCAAAAACTCATTTCAGGCACTTAAGTGCCTAAAAGATAAACCTATGTTCACTGAAATATATCAAAAAATGAGTTCTTAATTTTGCGAAATATAGACAGTAAAAAAATTGAATGTGTTTTACGGGTTAAAACAAATACCCAGTTTAATAACCAGGAAATTTTTTATTTGTAGGTATTGTCGATTGAAAGAAATGTCACGATGTAACTCTAACAACTGTTTTTTTACTCTAACAAATTCTATTTTTTTTGTCTGTGGAGTTGGATATACTTTGTATGCCTACACCTTTCTGGTGTCGAAGAACATTGTTTGACTTCATTTATTTTATATTTTAATTTATTTTTTAATAATTAGCTTAATATCTTTAAAATAAAGTAAAAAATGCACAAAATAATCAATCAAATAAGTCATCTTCTACTTTTTGAGCACTTAAGAATAGTTTAAAAAACTGAGCTCTATATTCATTAATCAAACAAAAATACAATGATTACCTATCAGTCTTACATGTTTGATAAATTTTATAACATGAAAATCGAAAGATAGGTACAATGTTATTGATTATTATTAATGTCCAACCACCTCTATTTTAAAAGTAGGTACAAAAATAATTCAAATAAATTTAAAAATTTCTTTCTGAAAAATTTAGTCAAAGTCAATGTTCTGCTTTAGAAGAACATTGTTTGATTTTATTTAGTAAGATTTTTTAGAATTTTTTTCAATTTGTTTGAATTAGCTTAATATACAGGCTGTTACAAATTCACTTCTCACTACAGGGATCTCGGAAACGGTAAGAGATACGAAGTAGCTTAAATGGGGGCAAAGTTGTATAATTAGGGGACCAACATTATGCCTCTAAGAAATCAAGGTTAACATGATTAGTTTCCGAAATATTTGAAAAAAAACGAAATTTAGCAAATCCGTTTTTGTTTCATTTCAGCCTTGTTTGAGGTGTTATCGAAAAAAGAACACTTTCTTTTTGCCTTTTATCGACTGGCATAATTAATTTTTTTATGTAACGTTTCGTCTTTCCAGGTTCATCATCAACTTCATTTTTTTTAAATACGGACCTGGAAATTTTATTATAATTTTTGCAAGCCTTCATGACCTCCAATACTGTACTGCCTCAGCCCGAATCAGATTGAGACGTTATGTCTCGAAAAATTCAACTTCAATGTAGGTATTCGTTTCAAATTTATTTAATTTTTTTAATTTATATTTCTGTTTATTGGATTATCGTACACTCTAAATGTTGATTTTTTAGAGGCATTTTGTTGGTCTCCTGATTACTCAACTTTGTACCCATTTAAGCTAATTCGTATCTCTAAGATTTCCGAGATCCTTGTAGTGAGAAGCGAATTTGTAACAGCCTGTATATAATATTAAAAAAGTATATATAAATGTAGGTAAGAAATTTTATTCATGGCCTCCAGTTTGTTCTTTGTTATTATTTAATGATTCTCATTTATTAATTATATTTTTTAGTTATATTATTATGAATATCTTGAAGATTTAGTTATTTTACTATATAAACTATGTTTTTAAAGTAATTTCACAAAAGTGTGTATCCAGAGGCATTAAATCATGACAGTTTGCAGACCACTGAATGCCACCAAATCTATTTTATCCAAAAAATTAAAAGCAGCATTCAGCATGGGGATATTATTGAAAATGTTATTAGACAATTGCAGTTAAATTTTGGTAACAATATTTTTTGTCAAAAGGATGAAGGCCCTCCCCTAATCTATTTAACATGAGCAATATACTAAATATTACTTTTAATTTTAGGTAGATTTGTCAGAAACACGCAACATTAATAGCTGACTACAAAAAAATATAAACCCTGTATCTCAAAAACAGTGTGTTGTGTACATAAACAATAATCTGTAAATATTTGTCAGTAGAATTACAGCACCCTTTAAAAAGAAATGTCGTGTAAAATTTTTACTATTACGCAGAGACGTAGCCAATAGAGATAGTGGCAAGCAAAAATAAAATTTTGCCTCTCTCTAGCTACAACCCTGGTTTGCGAATTTTTTAAATGAAAGGGAAGGTTTTGGAAAGTTTTGTATACTTACTACTTGCTTATCTAATAATTTTCTTTTAAAGAAAACAATATTTATAAATGAACATATATCAGCCAATAAGTATTCAAATTTGCTACTTATTACATATTTTAATTTTTAAAAGCCCTTTGGAAACTGGGAATTTCCATTGTCAGATAGTCCCAACCAATGAAAATATGTACTTTGTCAAATTTATTTCAGTTACTTCAAAACCGACAATTAAATAAATATTAAATTAGACAGTACCAAATTATACGTTAAAGCTTTTATCTGTGACAGTTGCTTTGATATTTGAAAGGGTATAAATTATGAAATCCAACCACCGTTACACAAATGACATTCTCTGTATCATATGCTTCCAATAGAAATATGTTTCTGATAAATAATAATCGATGTTTGATATTTTTAACAATGAAGAAAATTTTATCAGCGGTGGTGAACAAAAAGATGTTTCTCTCGTAAGGGTTATATTTATGTAAATATGTAGTAGTAGGCATAATTGATTATTACGATTTTATATTGGCAGGGCTTTGTTAAGATGGAATTATTATTGTACTCGTACCTGTATCGTAATTATGCGATCGCAAAGAATAAATCATCGGCAAAGATGTGTGTTAAAAAACAGAATTTACCGTTCGAATTTTAGATGAACAAGAAAAGAAAAATTCATATTGCTCTAAGATGCTATAAATTCTATAAATATAAACATGAATGCCTGTTCTTAAAAATAGGTAAAATATGAAGCTAATAAGTATTTTAATCCAAGAGATAAAATAACTGTTTTCAAAAGAAAATAAATTTGGGTCTTATTTTCCTAGAGGCCAAAAATAAAGCCAACATTAAAAAAATATACCAACATTCATCTTCGTTAACTCCTAAATGGCAAACCTACGCATAAGTAACTGTTTACCTATCCATGATAAAGAAATAGCTTTAATTTTCACATTTTTAGTAAATAAATTATTCTTCGTTGTCTGAACTTAGACCAAACATTATTTGTACACACACCATATATGTTTGCTGAATGACAAAAGTGTAAAGGTAACAGAACCACAACTCGGCACGTGTTTTTATGCCCGAGTCTTATTTTCAAAACTTAAAACTCAACGAAGTGGTATTTTTCACATAACGTAGTACCTGATTTGAATACATATACAGAGTTTTATAGAATGACGTTTTAAAAATTTGGGATATTGTAGAGGATGAAATTGGAAACATTTTACAATAATCTCCTATCACTTGGGTACCTACCCTCCCATCCACTGACGTTATGTTATTGCTGCAGATGGAAGACTGTAAATACACAATTACAGTAGTCTACCTGAATTTGTTTACAGGAAGTTGTTTACTGAGTGCTTATATTTTAATTGATATTTTAACGTAATATTTTTGAGAATGTAAGTAAACCGCGAATATCTGAGAAAATTGAAATTGTAACCCCTACAATTCCTATATCGGTGAAAATATATTTTAATTTTCTATAATATAATGCAGAAAACTACGGGGTGGTCCATTTGAATTTAAAAAGTTTTGTCGATTTTATGTT